CGTCCGTTTGACTGAGAGCAGACAAGCTCAGAGAAGTCGAGTAACTGGCCCAGGTCACACAGCTTGTAGATCTTAAGAGTCCCGTTTTTCCCCCACTACTTTGGGCATATTCGAAACTCACCAACAGTTTCAATACGAGGTGCTGAGTGACCAAAGCACTCTGGGCAGCTCGGCCACAGCGTGGGGGGGCTAAGAAGATCTGGAGGTGGCAGTGAGGACAGCATAATGTAAACCGAACCTCAGAGGGTGCAAATGAAGGGAGAGCAGTTGCCTCCTAGGTAACTGGGTTTCTCTTCACTAACCTGTAAGCCTTTGGCGATGGGGCCGTATGCCCACAGCCAGCCTTCTAGTAGATCCCTCAAAATATTATTAGAACAATTTTTTTCAATGTTTTAAATTGTAAAATGTTTAAATACGTAAAAAAACTTGTAAAGAGTAAAATGAATACCCACTTACCCTCTATCTAGACTTAACAATCAGAATAAATAATGTGTATACCACTTTATAGCTTATGAAATTTCTTACTTGGCGTTAACATATTGCAAATGAAACTCATTGGAGAACCAATCAGGGAACTATTCGGACATGACTACTGCACAACATCCACAGTTCAAGGCCACCACAGTGGCCCACCTTGGGGAGCTGGCTTGCTCTCCTTTTCCATCCTGCTCAGGAGGCTATAGGTTGCACCAGAACTTGCTTTGCTCTCAGAAAGCAGAGTTACAAATGTTTCTCAATGGGAGGTTCATTGCCTGGAAATTCACTTTAAACTTGAGAAGTTAGCCGCTCGAAGTTTCAGATTTCTCCCTTAAAATTTATACTGGAGTGTAGAGAGAGTTTGGGTCAAATGGTATCTATTATTTTCACCTTTGGATTAACACAGGAACTCTTCCATGATCTTCTCATGGTTCTTTCTTTTTTCAGTAACATATATGTACTATATTTAAATACCATGAACCTTTATCATGATGATGGGGGGGGTGGGACAGGACTGATATCCCCTTGAAGGCAAAGCTAATTATACTTTTAAAAATGTTTTTAATCTTTATTTTTTAGAGAGAAAGCGCAAGTGGGGGTGGGGGCAGAAAGAGGGAGGCAGGATCAGAAGCAAGCTCGAAGCTGTGAGGGCGGAGCCTGACACAGGGCTCTAACTCATGAACTGTGAGATCATGACCTGTGCTGAAGCTGGACACTTAACCGACTGAGCCACCCAGGCGCCCCTCAATCATTTTAAACACATTCTGAGAGGCGTGCCTACGTGGCTCAGTTAGTTGAGTATCTGACTTCAGCTCAGGTCATGATCCCATGATTCCTGAGTTTGAGCCCCGCAGGGGGCTTGCTGCTCTCAGCGTGGAGCCGGCTTCCGATCCTCTGTCCCCATCTCTTTCTGCTCCTCCCCTGCTCGCTCGCTCTCAAAAATAAACATTTTTTTAAAAGGTATTCTGAGAGTTGTAATCCTCTTTTCACATTTCTTCATTTAAAAAAATTACTGGAACCTCAAAAAAATGGAAGCTTAGTGAGTTTCTCTTGACTTAGAAAGGACTCGGTGGCGTCAAAGCACTACCTTATAAGTCCATGCCTCAGAAATGGCCCTGTTGCAAAAGTATCACTGCAGTTGCAAAATATCCTGCTGTAGACTGGAAAGCCCAACTTCCTACCCAATCCTGTTGTGCGTGCGTGCACCTTAGTTTCCCGGACAGTGAAGACACGGTCAGGGACCCAGGGACGTGAAGGATCCCGCATGTTGTTGTACTATTTGATTTCTGTCTCAGCAGTTGGGGGACTGCCTGCGAGGTGGCTGTGTTACTGCCTTCTGGAAGCTTGTAAGGGTCTTGGTCCCATAGATGCCCAGTCAACACCCTTCGGGCCCAACCTGCGAATATCACACATCTAACATTTGCATCATACATATTTATTTGGGTCCGTCCATTTGTTAAGAGAATATGTTGGGTTTGGGGTTATTTTCTCAGGAGGATCCAGAAAACTGGATGCTGTCAGGTATTAAACCAAAAGCACTGAATACTCTGTAAAATATTAAGTATGTAGACTGACTGGACAATAAGAAAAATTCAACTAAGCAGAATTCATCTAAGCCTTGATCTCAGGCTGGTCACACACAGTACTGTTTGTTCTTCAGGCATGTTGTAACTGATCTGTGGGAGTGGTCAGAATGACCCATTTTGAGCCTCCTTGGCCACCTGAAAAAGTGACACCACTGGTTAGTGAGAATAGTAAAATAATAAATCAGTGTCATGCAGGTGGACAATATTGCAAAGTGGCTAAAAAAGGGAGTTTGATTCCTGGCTCAGTTATTGGCCAAGTCACTAAACCACTAATCCTGGCTGTAAACGAAGATGATGAATCCTACCCTAAAAGAGTGCTGCAGAGATTTTAGGAGGTAATGCACAGAAAGCAAGCTGTGCCTGGCACAGAGTAAGCACCGATGGAGGGTAATTGTGTTACCAACCAAACATCTATAAGCCAAACATTTCATGAGAAAGTTTAAGTCAGGACATGCAAATGATGCCAACTAAGTGACAGAAAAGTCACCTCTTTGCATGTACCATTGTAGCAACCGATTTAGGAAAGGATTCCCACTGAATGCCAAAATCATGGGGTGAAAGACTGCGGGAGAACAAGAAATTTCCACATGCTCGGGTTATTTATTAATCACACACACAAAAAAGTGGAGACACCCTGAGGATGCCTAGATGCACTCTCAGTCTAATAATGAGGAAACAACCATAAGAGGTAAACTGAGGGAACTTCTGTTTGGAATGCACTTTTGAAAAACACTGTCTTGACATAACTTAAAATTTTTTTAACGTCTGTTTATCCTTGAGAGAGAGACAGAGCACAAGCAGGGGAGGAGCAGAGAGAGAGGGAGACACAGAATCTGAAGCAGGCTCCAGGAGCTCAGCTGCCAGCACAGAGCTCGACTCTGGGCTCAAACTCACAAACTGAGAGATCATGACCTGAGCTGAAGTCAGACACTCAACCCACTGAGTCACCCAGGTGCCCTGTCTTGACAGAACTTTAAAAGGTGAGGAAGTGTGAGAGTGTTCTAGATAGAAGCAGACTACAGAGATGTGACAACTAAAAGCAATGCAGGATCTCTGATTCAGCCCTGGATTGGAGGGGGGGAGGGGGGAGAAAAGCTGTCAAGGACATTGTCACAGCAATTGGAGAAATTTGATTATGGATTCATTATAGTATTATAATGATGTTAATTTTCCTGAGTGTGATAAATGTATTCTGAGTATTTAAAATAATATCCTTGGCCGGCCTGGGTGGTTCGGTCGGTTAAGCATCAAACCTTCAGCTCAGGTCATGATCTCATGAGTTCGAGTCCTACGTCAGGCACTGTGCTGACAGTTCAGAGCCTGAAGCCTACTTCAGATTCTGTCTGTATCTCTCTCTACCCTTTCCCCACTTATTCTCTCTCTCTCTCTCAAAAAATAAACATTAAAATAAATACAATAATATCTTTATATCCTTATTCTTAGTACTTAGAGTATCTAGGGTATTTGGACTGATATCTGATAATTTTTTGATTCATTACTGAATAGTTCAGAGGGGGAAAAAAAAGTTCATCCATGTGTGTACGTAAGAGAGAAAATCCCTAAATACTGTAACATGCGAACAGTTGGTGAATCCAGGTAACTTTCCTCAACTTTTCTGTAGTTTCAAAAGTTTTCAAAACAAAAAGTTGAGGATAAAAATCAGGGTACGCAGAAAGACAGAAGCAGGTAACTGTGGCAGAAGTCAGCTCACCGCACATAGAACTTGCCTTAGCTCTGGAGTGACTTCTAGAACCCCACACTGGGCCATGAGCTCCAAAGGACACCAATGCCTTTTTCACCTTGTTTCTCCAGCATCCTGGCACGGTGTCCAAAATACGTGTTCAGGGGCACCTGGCTGGCTCAGTCAGTAGAGCATGTGACTTATGATCTCAGGGTTCTGAGTTCAAGCACCATGTTGGATGTAGAACTTACTTTAAAAAAAAAATACTTGTGGGGCGCCTGGGTGGCTTAGTCGGTTAAGCGTCCGACTTTCGCTTAGGTCATGATCTCGCAGTTCGTGGGTTCGAGCCCCGCGTTGGGCTCTGTGCTGACTGCCAGCTCAGAGCCTGGAGCCTGTTTCGGAGTCTGTGATTCCCTCTCTCTCTGACCCTCCCCTGCTCATGCTGTCTCTCTCTCTCTCTCCTAGAAATAAATAAAACATAAAAAAAAAATACTTGTTACATAAATGTGCATGGATAAGCACCCTCACTCGGCGGGGGGGGGGGGGGTGCGGTATGCCCTCAGGAAGCCAGAACAGAGTAGGAAACAAACCAATCAGTTTGACATTTCCACGCAAGGTGTTGAGGCCTTTGTGATGCTGAAGGTACCAGACAGCTGGACCTATATCAACAGGGGTGACACCAGGGCTTGTGTCCTGGTTGTGCCCTTCTGGCTTCATCTCCTCCATGGGCAGGGAAGGGCAAAGCTTGTGGGGCTGCATTTGTTGACTCCATGCCCCCACCATTTGCTCTGGAGAGTCAACAAAATCCCAAGAGTCTGCAGGAGAACAAATGGCCAAAGGGACTGACCCTTGTCCTCTTCAGCTTGGGACCAGGGGCCTTGTTCCTATTCCCCACCCCCCCAACCCCAGCCCCCATATCCAGGGAGGAGAGAGGGAAGCGTCTGAGCACCTGCTCAGAATCAAGGCTCTAGAATCTGATCCCAGACCCCACCCCCTCCCACATACTTACCAGCTGCTCAGCAGGCCCGTATGTGGAGGTGAGGGGTGGGGCACCTGGGGGAACCATGTGTTTGGAAAGGCATTGCGCCCTCCCGGCCCTCTCCAAGCCCAAGAAAGAGAACATGAGCCAGTGATGACACTGGGAACAAACAAACAATGACACTCAAAGCTCTGTTCTCACCAGAATGCAGAGTATTTCCTGTGCCTTTTCCGTTATTTCACAACCTGTCTCTTTTTACTCACTCTCTGGGCTCCAGGACAGAGGCTGCTTCAGACAGCTGGCTCTGGCCTCTCCTGGTCACCACCATGATCAAGACCCCTAGTGACCATCTGCTGTACTCCCTGGAGGGGCTGGTGCCCAATGACTTTGAGAGGTTCAAGTTTAAGCTCCAGAACACCAGCCTGGAGAAGGATCACTCCCGGATCCCTCGGGGCCAGCTCCAGACAGCCAGGCCGGTGAAGCTGGCCAGTCTGCTGATCACCCACTACGGGGAAGAGTATGCTGTGCGGTTGACCCTGCAGGTCCTGAGGGCCATCAACCAGAACTTCCTGGCAGAGGAGCTTCACAAGGCGACCGGCCCAGGTAAGCAGGCCCCAGGACCCTGCCTCCCCACAGCGCGACTGCTGGCTGTTCGTGGGGTGGGGTGGAGGTGGAAGAAGGAACTTGGGTCTAGACCAGTGTTGTGACCTAGCGATTAAGAGTCCAGGGTCTCCCAACGACCCCCGTGACTCTGGTTGAGCCATTCCTTTCTGCTGCTCAGATCTTTGGAGCTGGGTTAGTACAGCAAAGCTCCCAGACTTAAAAAAAAAAAAAAAAAAAGGCTGAGATTCTGCCTGTGGGACAGAATCAGGAACTACATGCCTGACCTAGAGGATCCCCACACTTCCTAAGTGCTTACCGCTTATGGACAGACCAGTATCTTGGGGAGAGAGAAAAAAGTTGCTAACCAGCCGTATCAACAGGGTCGACAGGTGATCTTCACATCATGACCCCCGTAATTTTGGTTTTGAATTCTTTGACATGCTTCACAAAGGCATTCTCAAATTCTCAATCCTTTTCCTTCCTTTACTTCATCTTTTCTCTTCCCTTTTTTTCACTCCCTTCTCCGCTTGGCTCTTCTGCTCCAGTTTGGTTTTAAGTTTGTGATTTCATGACACTGATCAATGAATGTGACCTATTTGATTTTTGCTTTTAAAGATTTTTGTTTATGAGGTTTGGGAGGAGGGCTACTATGTGGTTGGCTTAAAAAATATTCTTGAGTGTTTGAGTATTTCTTCTACTTCTAGACTCCAAGAACACACTAGAAATGTTTTCGGTGTGTGGTTTTCTGAAGTAGAAATGTTTAAATAACATGAAAGTTCTCACTCTTTGAAAGAGTGATAGGTTAAACCATAATTGGAGTCTAGGGTGATTCGATGAGTAGAAGTTTTAAGTTATTTTTTCATGTTTTAAAACCTGGTTATTAGCATCGTCAGGGCTTTTCCCATCAGTTCTTGAGCCAGTTCCGGGTTTTTCCTAGGAAGCAACGTGTTTTTACAACAGCAAAGTATTTTAAACCACCGAGGCCATTTTACTGAGAGCATCTTCAAACCAGAAATTAAGGTGCTAATTACAGAAAATCTTCATTTCTTTATTAGAGTAATGGGCTTCAAGTCACATCCCAGGATGATATTTTTTTTCCAGTATCAATAAATTTGTTTAACTTCTACTAGCAGGTTTCGGGTTTTTACTTCTTACTTGCCACTCTGTTGACAGAAACTTTGCCATGTACAGCCAGAAGTAGGATGATGTTTTGTGATCTTAAGAAGTCTTTTAAAGAGAATTTATTACAGTAGGGCAATAAAATTTTATGACCTATGACAGCATAGCAAGTTTATATACATGTAGATACACACGAGTATGCATATATAATATAAATACACACAAATAGTAAGAAAAAAAGACTAAAGATAAAAAGGTTGAGAAAAAAATTGTAAATCAAAGGAGTATTTCTTCCATTTTACAGACAATAAAAAAATATTTGCAGGGAGCTAGAAAGGTTAAGTGTCTTGTTCAAAACCATAAAAGAAATTAGTGGTGTTTCTAAGAAAAAAATCTAGCAGGGGCACCTGGGTGGCTTAGTCGGTTAAGTGTCCAACTTTCGCTTAGGTCATGATCTCGCGGTTCGTGGGTTCGAGCCCCGCGTCGGCCTCTGTGCTGACTGCCAGCTCAGAGCCTGGAGCCTGTTTCAGAGTCTGTGTCTCCCTCTCTCCTGACCCTCCCCTGCTCACGCTGTCTCTCTCTCTCTCTCTCTCTCCTGGAAATAAAACATTTTAACAAAATTTTAAAAAATCTAGCATACTCCCGGTCCCATTCTCTAGCCTTTAATCCTGAAACTATATTTTCCATTTTATACTCTGTGTCTAGCGCTTTCCTGATGGACACTCACTACCTTTGTCAGTGAAAAAAGGCAGCTCTCACCACTAGTGTCATCATGTCCCTTTTCTCACTGCCCATTGCCAACTACCTGCATAGGGACATAGTACAGTTTTTATCACATGAGGTCATTTTATCTTCCCAGACTATTCTTCTTTTCTTACAACTACAGTTAGTCTCATAGCAAGAATTTAGACCTTTAGTTTAATTTTAAAATAAAAATTATCAAAGTATATACACACAGTTTTAAAAGTAAAATAATTTGGGACGCCTGGGTGGCTCAGTTGGTGAAGCATAGTTTTGTTTCTGTCTGAAGCCATTTTGGTAACGTTAGTGTTTTTTTTTTCTTTCATAGTTTATTGTCAAGTTGGATTCCATATAACACCCAGTGCTCATCCCCACAAGTGCCCTCCTCCATGCCCATATCCCCCCCCTTCGCCTCCCCCCGACCCCCATCAGCCCTCAGTTTGTTCTCAGCATTCAAGAGTCTCTCATGGTTTGCCTCCCTCCCTCTCCCCCACTATTTCCCCCCTTCTTCTCTCCCACGGTCCTCCGTTAAGTTCCTCCTAATCCTCCTATACGTGCAAACATATGGTATCTGTCCTTCTCTGCCTGACTTATTTCGCTCAGCATAACACCCTCAAGGTCCATCCATGTGGCTACACATGGCCAGATTTCATTGTTTCTCGTTGCCATGTAGTATTCCATGGTATAGATGAACCACATCTTCTTGATCCATTCGTCTGTTGATGGACACTTAGGCTCTTTCCATGTTTTGGCTATTGTTGAGAGTGCTGCTATGAACATTGGGGCACATGTGCCCCTATGCATCAGCATTTCTGTATCCCTTGGGTCAATTCCTAGCAGTGCTACTGCTGGGTCCTAGGGGAGTTCTATTCTTAATTTTTTGAGGAACCTCCACACTGTTTTCCAGAGGTGCTGCACCAGTTTACACTCCCACCAACAGTGTAGGAGGGTGCCCGTTTCTCCACATCCTCGCCAGCATCTATAGTCTTCAGGATGATATTTGAAGGATTCTTTGGAATGTTAACAAATACTTAATTCAAATTTTATTAATCTTTCTAACTCACAAAACCAACAAATTCATATTAAAATGTGTCATTAGGGGCATCTGGGTAGCCCAGTCAAACATCTATCTCTTGGTTTTGGCTCAGGTCATGATCTCACGGTTCGTGAGTTCGAACCCCACATCCGGCTCTGTGCTGGCAGCAAGGAGCCTGCTTGGGATTCTCTCTCTCCCGCTCTCTCTGCCCCTCCCCCGGCTCATGCTGTATCTGTCTCTCTCAAATACATAAAAACTTTATTTTTTTAAAAAAATCTTTTAATGTTTTATTTCTGAGAGAGAGAGAGAGAGACAGCACGAACAGGAGAGGGTCAGAGAGAGAGAGAGGCACAGAATCCGAAACAGGCTCCAGGCTCTGAGCTGGCGGTCAGCACAGAGCCTGACACCGGACTCGAACCCACGAACAATGAGATTATGAGCTGAGCCGAAGTCGGACGCTCAATGGACTGAGCCAAACAGGTGCCCCACATAAAAACTTTAATAAATAAATAAAATACAATGCATCATTAACCAAATCTTGAAATTCTGGAAGCCACCAGGGTGACAGTTTGTACTATAGAAAGTTTGAACCCGTTTTATGTAGACCTTGGAATTAAGCCTTTCCTGTCACTTCTGTATTGAAACTGTATCCTCAAATTTCCAAGCAAATAGTTAAAAAAAAAAAAATCACCATTTACACTCACTTGTCTGTGTGTTAGGATTTTCTTCACATCGTAAAACCAAAGAATAAAACAGAAGTTAGTTCCTGAAGTTTTACCAGAGTCCTTCAAAACCTGTTTTCAAATTTTTGTGCCACACAGCTTAATACTTCTTTATTGAGGGATTTTATAAGTGAACGTCATACATCTATAATCACACACACATTTATACAAGTAAACTAGGGTCTTTATGTATTTTATGTATTAAGAATTCTGTGTAAGCCTTTATATTGGAAGTTCTCCTGTCAAAGAAGTTTGAAAAGCACTTTTTGAGAAATATATAGCAAATAATTAGCATTTTCTTATTTAATAGTAATTGCTGTTGCCTAGAATGCTCTCAACTACTGTAATTTTTTTTTTTTTGAGACAGAGAGAGCACGGGCAGAGGAGAGGGGCAGAAGTAGAGAGAAAAATCTTTTTTAAATTTATTTTTAAAGTTTTATTTATTTTTAAGAGAGACAGAGAGACAAGTGGGGGAGGGGCAGAGAGAGAGGGAGACACAGAATCCAAAGCAGTCTCCAGGCTCTGAGCTGTCAGCACAGAGCTCGACTGCGGGCTCGAACTCGTGAACCTCCAGACCATGACCTCAGCCAAAGTCAGATGTTTAATCGACTGAGTCATCAAGGTGCCCCAAAACTTGTCATTTCCGAGAGGATTTTCCCTCCTGTCCCCTCTCCCACCCCTGGCCTGAAGCACCACACATTCTCATGCCTTTACATCTCGTTGTCTTTGCAGAGTGTCTGATACAAGAAAGCGGCACTGACCGTTCAGCAACGTCTTGCTCCTCCAGAGAGAATAAGCCCAAGGGCCTGAGGATACCACATGTCTTGGAAGGTGATAGGCTGCGGCAAAGCGGTGACGGGGCCCCCGGCCTGCCAGCCAGCCAGCCTGAGTCTGGAAGAGTCCAGAAAAAGCCTCAGGGCAAACGGGGAGATCAGAAGAGCTCCGAAGGCCTGGACTTGCCGGGCAAGCCAGGGGCCCGGAACATGCCTCAGGCCTTCAAGAGAAGCCTGGACAAGCAGCAGGGGGAAAGGGGGAGCGATCCTATCATCAGGCTGCGCCCAAACGCCAGCTTTTCAGGACTGACCTGTGGGTCCCTCGGAAGGGCAAACTCCAAGATACGCGAAGCACATTTACCTTCAGGACAGAAGCGCCCCAAAAGTCTGGAAATTACCTTTTTTCAAGGAGAGAGAGAAGCTTCCAATCCAGGAACTCTTCTGTCTCAAGAGAAAATGAGAAGTGACAATACAGACTCAGCAGCCACCCCCAGTCAAGTGCCTACTCTGGATGTAGGGGCTACTGTGGCTCCAGAGAAAGGCTTCAGGAACCCAGAATATTCTATGAGCCCGAAAGGGGGAGCATTCAGGAATACACTTTCTAATGTATCGTTGGTTAGAGCGAAGACCACCTGGGACCATCCAGAACCTACGGGACCTTCTAAGAAAAATGTAATTGAGGGTCAAGAACCGCCTGAGCCCTTGAGGATGGTGGTAGGTGGTGAGCTCCAGGAGCCTTCAGATCTAGAAGTTCCTCCTTATTCAGGTGAGAAAGGACCCCAGAACTCAGAAGACCTGGCATCCTTGGGAACGGTGACCTGTGCAGGTGTTCCCTCACAAATCTCCTTTCATCCCCACTGTATTTATGTCACTAGATCCCTGGGTTTCCCCTGTGATCCCCAACCCTTTGGGAATCTGAGGTAGGATGTGAATCCTGAGAAAAATGCATGTATGCACATCTTCACAAAATGTTGCATCAAAGTTCGGTTAGCAAGTTCTTAGATACCCTAAAGTCCTTTTGAATTCCAAGGGATTCATGGACTCCAGCTTGAGCATCTGGGAAAGACTAGGTAAGAATACCGCTTCTCACAATGACCCCATGGCAGTATGTCATGGGGCTGAGACTCTGCCATTGGCCTCCCTCTCCAGGCAGCAAGGAGAGCTGCTGGCTAAAATCTTAAATCTCTTTTACTTAGGAGGCAGAAATTAGGATTAGGTTGGATTGTGGGTGCCAGAGACACCAAAATAATGCTACCTGAAACAAGAGAGAAGTTTGTTTCTCTTTCACATACATGACTTACAGGTGGTTCAGAATAAGGAATCCAGGCTCCTACTGCTTTTCTGTTCCACCAGGTTGGCTCTTAAGCTTATGGTCTCATTCCAAGCAGCAGGGTGGAAGGACAAAGGAGAAGAGTATCACTTAGGGAAGGTTTCCAGAAGTTTCTAGAAGGTGCTTGTGATGCCTCCATTTATATCCCTTTGGCCAGAATGTAGTCAAATAGCCACACCTAACTGCAAGGGAGGCTGAGAAATATAGGGGTTTGGAGGGGGTTGGGGGGAGAAAGCAGCCATCGACTGATGGGCAGCAGTCAATTCCATCACTAGGGAAGGACGGGAGAATGGTTGCTAGGCACACTTCCCACAGTCTCGCCTAATGATATGATATGAATTCCTGGGACCTTGTGAGAGGGGGTGGAAGGGGACTAATGGATTGAGTGTGTTTCTGTCTCTTCTTGTACCTCCTGTCATTTCTGCCTTATGAAGTTGTGCTGTGGTCCCAGGGCACAACTGGTCATAGCTGTTTGTCATCATGGTGGGTTAAACCCTTCAGCCTTATAAAGTCAAGTCCCTTTCTTTACTTCCACTTAATACTTTCTGAACATGCATGGGAGGAGAGGTCTTTCATTGAACACACACTTCGCAAATCCTTACCATGTGCTGTTGACTCTACTAGGGGTCAGGCTATGAGAAAATGCCTGTCCTCAGGGAGCTCCCCCTCACGTCATGAGCAGCCTGGGTGGTTTTAAGTGGCAAAGCAAATACTGGTCAGAATGTCTCGCTGCCTTTGTATCACCTGCCAGAGCCATGTCTGTGTGGGAAGAAGGCGTATAATTTATAACAAAAGACCCTTCTTTTGGATAAATACCCAGGAATTCCGAGTCTCAGGACTGTCATGAGATCTAGCCCTCAGCCCGCAGTTCCAGAGGGTGGTTTACTGCCTTGCTGGAGCGAAGTCAGGGGACGACAAGCCAGAAGTGGCCACAGTCTAACCAGGAGCTCGTGTGTCCCAGGCACGGGCTCTCTCCCTCTGCTGTGGCTGGTAGCACACCTTCATAACACCTTGGGTTTGTCACTCAGGAACTTTTTCCACTGCCGTGTCTCCAGGGAAGCCATGGGATGAGGCTGTGGACGTCCTCTGCCACGCCCAGGACGGAGGCCCGATTGGTGGCACCCATGTTCGTGATTCCTGCAGATACTCTGTTGCTTCTAGGGATCCCAAGGCCTCTGCCAGCTGCTCAGCCAGCTGCCTCCAGAGCCAGGCCCCGCTCCCGGTAAAGAACTCCGGAGACTGCAAGCAGCAGGAGGGCTTGCAGATGGCCATCTTGAGCCCCAAGGACCTGCCACATTGTGAACGGCACATGAAGCAGGGCCAGGCGCTCTTCTGTGAGGACCACGGGGAGCCTATCTGCCTCATCTGCCGGCTGAGTCAAGAACACCAAGGCCACCGGGTGCGCCCCATCGAGGAGGCTGCCCTAGAATATAAGGTAGGGCTTCCAGCTGGGGATGGGGGACTTGGCTTTCTCTGCTGGTCACTGGGACATGCCAGGGCAGCTTTATTTTCCCAACAACCCCGGGAGGTTGGTGCATTAACCAGCATTCTTGGGTTGTAAATGGCAAAAACACAATACAAACCAGACCAGCAATGAGGGAATTTAGTGGTTCATGTAGTTGCGATCCAAAAGCACTGGCTTCAGGCATGGCTGAATCCAGGTGCTCACATGTCATTATGAATCTCTCTCACCACTTCTTGGCTCTGCTTCCCTTGGTGTGATAGATTCATTCTTCCGCTTTCCTGGGCACCCTCCCTATGCTCTTGGCTGCAGCACCATCCTCCTTACTCACTAAAGCAGATTTTTCCCTCTAGAATTGGCACCAACTAAAGATGGCAAAAGCCAAATTTAAACTTCAAAAAGTGCCCCTTTTCCAGGAGCGAATTCAAAAGCAGCTGGTGTATCTGAAGGAGTTGAGAAAATCTGGGGAGGAGCAGAGATCTCGGGGGGATAAGAAGACTGCGGACTTCCTGGTAAGGCCAGGGGTGTTCTGTGGCCAGTCCTTGCCTGGATTCACCCCTAGGAAAGGAGGGAGGGGACCAAGTATGAGCAGGAGGCTCCAATTATGTTCTTGTTCACAGGGAAGCAGAACTGATCACATATTTATTTATTTTTTTGCAAATAGTTTATTGTCAAATTAGTTTCCACATAACACCCAGTGCTCATCCCCACAAGTGCCCTCCTCCATGCCCCTCCCCCCTCCCCCCCACATCCATCAGTCCTCAGTTTTTGTCAGCATTCAAGAGTCTCTCATGGTTTGCCTCTCTCCCTTTCCCCCACCATTTCCCCCCTTCTTCTCCCCCTTGTTCCTCAGTTAAGTTCCTCCTAATTCTCCTATACGTGCAAACATGATATTTGTCCTTCTCTGCTTGACTTATTTCGCTCAGCATAACACCCTCAAGGTCCATCCGTGTTGCTACACGTGGCCAGATTTCATTCTTTCTCATTGCCATGTGGTATTCCATCGTATAGATAAACCACATCTTCTTGATCCATTCGTCCCTTGATGGACGCTTAGGCTCTTTCCATGTTTTGGCTATTGTGGAGAGTGCTGCTATGAACATTGGGGTACATGTGCTCCTATGC